CATACCATACAGACTATTCTCTCCACTTCACCCACCCACACTCACTTCTGTGTCTTACATCCTCGTCAATACCACCTTTTGCTCAACTGATTTTAAATACTTAAAACTTTCCACCTCTCGTATCATGTTTTCACTTATTGTTACTAATCTCTTCATTTCACCTACCTCGTGTTCTCCTTTGTTAAACTCTTACTTTATATACTCTGTCTTACTCTGAGTATTCTTAAACTCCTTTTTTTATTAATGTTCACTTTAAAACCAATCTCAGTATTCTATCATACATTTCCTCCAAATCTATAAATAACATATATAGGTTTTTCTTCTTTTCCCTATGTATTTCTATTAGTTGTATCATACAAAATAATGGCTCCATTGTTGACTTATCAGACATAAATCAAAACTGGTTTTTAGATACTGATTTCTGATTTCTTATTTTCCTATCTATTATATTTTCCCAAATTTTCATACTATGACTCATAAGTTTAAAGCCGATACATTATTTATGTTTGAGGCTTAAACAAGTGATGGAATCAGAGCGTGAATGGTTACCCCATTAAGAGTAATTATGGCTTTCCAATGAAGGAGCCTCAAAATAATGAATTTGAAGAGAGTTAGAGAGGACGGCAAGTAAGTTATGAATGGAGTTGAGGGCATTATGAATGGATATATGAAGAAAGAATAGAACGATATCATCAGCATAGAAAAGTGAAAAAGTTCCAATAGAGGCGAAGGAGAGGCTGATTTTTCTCATGTAAATATTAAAAAGAAGAGAACTAAGGCAGCTACTCTGTGGGAGGCCGCGGTAGGAGGTGAGTTTTAATATTAAACCGGAAGGAGAAGTGAAAGTAAGGGAACGTGTGAATAGAAACGTGAAATAAAATAAAAAGTGTAGGGGGTACATAATAAGAATGTAAAAGGGAAATAAGGGTAAAAATGTGTACAGAATCAAAAGCACCTTTGATGTCAACAAAGACAGCAGGACAATAGGATTTATCACAAAATGCTCTGTATATACAGGCTGTGAGAGTAGATACACACTCCATGGTGCGAAGCCCTCTTCGAAACCCGTATAAGTTAGGGGGAAGACAGTTATTTTTTTCAAAAAACTAATCAAGGTGGTTCTTGATAATGTTTTCGACTACTTTGCAAAGAGAAGAGGATGGAGCTAATGAGCGAAATGCAACGGAAGCTGAGTTCGATTTAGGAACGGATATGACGTTAAAATTACACCAAGAATCAGGAATAACACCTTGGGACCATAAAGAATTGAGAATGACTAAGAAAAGTTCAAGGCAATGAGAAGGGAGATGTTTTAGAACCAAAGGGGAAATTCCATCCAAACCAGAGATGGACGATTTATGCGAATAAATTGAATAGGAAATTTCATTGAGTGTAAACGAAGAAGTAAGAAGATGAAAAGGGAGAGAATTAAAGAAGGGGTTAAGATCAAGGGTAGGAGAGGATTCTTCTAAGGATAGGACGTAGGGGGATCAACCTTACTGCAGAAGGGATCAAACTATGACTTGTTTAAAGAGGCAGAATTTTTATATAGACAGTTTTTAAATTTTTTGGCAATAGCCCAAGTATTGGACAGGCTAGATGAAGGATTAAGTGAGGAACAGAAGGAGCGCCAGGACATAATTTTTGCTTGTTTAAGTGTTTTTTGAATAGAGGCGTGTATCTTTTGGTACTCAAAAAAGTCGCTTAATAGACCCGAGGATCTATATTTTTTAAAAGCTTTAGTGCACTCATTGATAACGTAGGTGTAAGAGGAAGGCCAGATGAAATGGTTAGGTCAACCGCGGAATCCATTTGGGAAGAGCCTGTAAGAAGGGTGGGGAGTCTTGTACTGAAAATACAAAGACTATAAGCAGAAATAGCAGATGAAATAATGTTACCACAATAATTGGATATTAGTGCACCCCAGGAGGAATGGTGAGCATTAAAGTTACCGTCTAGAATAGAATTACAAAAAACTAAATAAAAAAATGTTATCAATTAGTATAGAAGGAGGGTTGGAAGAAGGGAAATGTAAATAGAGCAAATGGCAATGGGATTAGGTAAATTGGTAAACGCCTCGATACCGACAAGATCTATGGAATGATTAAGAAGCGAGATTTTTAATACAGGATCAATAGAAATAGTTAATGTGGATAGTATGATAGGAGGCGATGGTTACACCGCCAAAACCGTTGATACGATCAGAGCGATTAATGTTGAACTGTGGAAGAAAATCACGTTTGTTTGTAAGGAGCCAAGTTTCAGAAAGAAGAGCAAAAGAACATTCATTGTTAGAGAGAAGAAAAGAAAGATCGTGCATTCTAGAAGATAAACATCTTACGTTCCATTGAAGAATGTTGAAAGAAGGATAGTTAGGATTACTATTAAAACGTGTCATCATTATCAGATAAAGGATAGTGGATGTTAATTAATGAATATTTGATAGTTGATTGAAGTATTGAAGGAGAGGAAATTAATTTAGGATCACTCGCAAGTAGCTGAGCGATATATTGCGATAAGAAAGAAATCCAGCTGCGGTCATCAGAATTTATATTACGATTTTGGGACATATATTTAAAAAAACTGTAATTAGGCGAAATTGGTCTAGAACAGTCATTCGTTAAAGGAGGAAAGCGGGGGAAGGAACATGAGTTTTATTACTTTTTTTCTTATTTTGTTTATTACCTTCGATGCGAAGCTGAGAAGGTATTGGTTTTACTAAGATGTGTTTTTTTTTTTTTTTTTGTCTGTTACCACTTTTTCTCAGCTCTCACCGAACCGATTTCTTTCAATGATACGTCAAAAGATCACAAATCGTATCTAGTCGAAGACATTACCCTCAAAAATTGAAAAAAATTCCCTCGTTCCCCGTAAATGGGGGAAACCTCCGAAAAAATTACAAATTTAAAAATGACTAATTTTCGAAATTTTTTCAATTTTTTTTACTGAAAACTGCCGTAACTTTTTTAAAAATAAACATATCAATATAATTTTTATAGATGCATGATGTCATTACCTATCATTTGGTATATTTTTTTTTATAAATTTGACTTTTTACCTGACCACAGGGGGGGATTTAAAACGACAACTTTTTTACAAAAAATTAATTTTTTCAACTTAACTTTTGAAAGTGTTCCGGAAGGTCTGACACTTTTATATATATCTTAAATTAAAGCTAATGTAATTTACTTTATTATGCAAAAAAAAAATTTCGGACTTTATTTTATCTTCACGGTGAAAATGGCTACCAAATGCTATTATTGTGTGAAAATTCTCGATTTTATTTTTTACATTTTTAACTTTATAATGCTATAACTTATTGAAAAGTGTATGGATCAACATAATTTTTTTATGAGAAATAATATTTTTTAATAATCCCTTTTTCATTCGACATACTTTATCTTAATCAGGATATTAATAAGGAACTAGCAGATCATGTAGCTTTTGGAATAATCCACCAATTTTTTAAAATTAAACACTATCTAAAGATTTGCATCGAAGCGTTTTTTTTTTATAGTGATTTTAATCACTGTCAGATATCATTATACTTGATCCATATATGTCACGTCACCACTGTGCCGCGACTCCCCTGTGCTGGGTTTTTTGTATATGTATTAGTAGAATGACTAAGGGAAGGAAAGAAAAGAGAAGCTACGACTTTGACACTAGAAATATTTGTATTTTTTGCAACATCAGAAAAGGTAAAAGCTTTATTAACTAAACTGGAACGTTTGATAGAGGAGACTTCAGAAAACGAGACATTGTTTGTGGCCATTATTTTTTTAATATCCTTTTGCACAGACCATTCGCTGCAAGATCTATCCGTCGCAGGGTGGTTAAGTTTACAAAAAATGCACGAAGGAGGTGTGGTTAACTTGACGTTACAATTAGATTCAGTGTGGTCAAAGAGACCGCAGTGGCTGCAGCGCTCCTTACTGTGACAGAACTTGAAAGTGTGACCAAAACATAAACACTTGCGACATTGGCCAGGAGAACGAATACTCGGAGAAACATCGAAAATAACTTTGTATATTGGTAATTTTTGAGGAAGAGTTGCTTGAAAAATTTAAGTTCAACTAAATTTTAGGAAACGAGGATGTTATCCTTTTTTATATTAATGCTTCTGAATGAAACAACTTTGACTGAACATTCATAACCTTCCCAAAAATCTTCTTTAGAGATACTTTTGTCAAGACGTATGATTCCAATATTATATAGTAAAGTGCTAAGAATATTCATAGAGTAGCCGTGTTCAGAAAGAAAAGGGGAAGTGAGGCAATTGTTGGCATTATTATCAAAATCAAACGTTTAGGATTAGGTCTGGGTTGTATTCAGAACCCCGACGAACACCGTAAATGTGCCAAAAAGGCGAAACAATGGTTTCAAAACTGATAAAAACTATGAATAAGCGAAATAGTACTCTAAAAATAGGCGGGTAGCTACAAACGTACGCGAGATAAACACGTCCGTACAATACAACTGATAAATCGTAACTAATAAATAATATTTTTATTCGATTATTAAATAATTGACGTTCGAAATTTCAAATAAATTAATTAAATACTGTAATTACTTTAGAAAATAGTATTACGTCTATATTGTTATAGTGAATTTTGAACTTTCGCAGGTAGTCAACGCCCTCTCGTGGATAAATAAACTAGTGCGATGCGATCAAATAAAGAAAAAACTTTGTTTACGCTTGATAAATACAACTTAATTCTTATTACATTTACATACTCCTTGTATATACCCTTAAAAACACTATTATATGAATCTATTATATTTTCGTTATAATCATTTTATCGATATTTCGACAAAATTAGAAGTCGACAAAAAGTATTTAGATATATTGAATACGTGCATCCCAATGGGATTACCGTTCAAGGTTTAAAGATAATATAGATATTATCTATAAACCTTGGTTACAGTTGACCAATAGTGATTAGAAATTGGTAACTTTATACATATGATTATGTTATTATCAATATATTATAGATATTGCTTTACTTAAACAACTACACTACCGACAGCGTCATAGAAAAAGACAAGCGTCGTTCTTTCCGGCATTTGTAGGTGTATTTATTTACTTGTGAATTGTATACGTTTATGATCGTAAAGTTGTATACGCTATCAAAAAGGGTAGCTTTTGTTTAACGTCTGATACCTTAATTCTAGCAATTTCCGCGAGTGTTTAAAATGAGCACGCATGCGGACATAGAAGCTCAAATTCGTGAAATACAACAGCGGAAAAAAGAAGAAAAACTAAATGATGGTGACGATGTAGGGCTTGGGGCATCTGGCTTTTTTGATCAAGACATTTATAATGGTGGTGGTAAATATGAAGGATATGTTACTTCAATTGCGCCTAATGATGAATATGATGTAAGTTTAATTTATTTAAAGTGAAGTTTTCTTTGAATATTTACATACTCGTGCTAATTCTAAAATAAAATTCATGTTCGCCTACCTTTTTTGTATCAAATTTCATATGGTAAAATTTTATGGATTCTGTGGTGTGTAAACGTTAGCTGCTTTTCATTCTTGGATACAATAAAATATACAAAAATTTAAGATTCAATACTTTATTAATGTACATCCAAAAATAACAATGGTCTGGGATTAAAGAAGTATATCAATAAATTTCTTATTTATCAGGAGAGCAAAATTAAATTTTCATTTTACTTGAAAAAATTAAAACTTTTTATTTCTTCAAAATAAAATACGCCTTTCAATATATCAATGGTTTATCATTTTCACAACAAAAAATATAGATTTGGAGAAAGCATAGTTATTGTAATGTAAGGCACAGGTTTAAGTGTGGGTGGGTGAAGTGGAGAGAAGTATTTTGCGATAAAAGGATTCGAAAGAGGCTGAAAGGTAAAACCTATAGGATTGTAGTAGAAGAAAGTAGAGTAGAGAATGAGTGTAGCAGAGGTGAAAATGCTTAGGTGGATGAGTGGAGTGACTAATACTGTGAAGCTGTAAGAATAGTTATATAAATGAATGTGGAAGGAAGAATAGATAGAAGAAGACCAAAAAAGAGATGGAAGGATGTTATTGATACAATATGAAGACAGCTGATATGTGCGTAGATGATGTGGGTGATCGTGTCAAGTGGAAGTTTAGGATAAGGCTTACCTCAAGTAGTTGGAATTAAGGCCAGGAAAATGAAAATGAAGAAGATATTTCTTTTATCGTTGACCCTTGATAAATAGATTTAAAAACTATGTAATTCATTTAAATAACTTGTACTTTTATGCATTAACCATGATTTTGAGTTTAATTATATTAAAAAATCTTAATTCATTATAAAGTTAACAAAAAGACAATATCACAAATAAATGCCACAAATATATTTCTTATAACAATAGTAACACTTTTGTGTTTGTTAGTATTCAACTTTAAGAGCATATACTTTCAATGCCTAATATGGGCCTTCAATTCACCTAACATACAAAAATTTCTAAAAAATATATCATTCTATTTCTTACTTTAGTAGAAAATCTATATTTTTTGTACATGACGAAGTATTTTGGGATTCATGTAAACAAATTTTTTTTAATGATAAAAACAAGATAAGGTGATCAAATTATATTATAATGATAACTTATATTTTTTGTAAGATATAAGTAAAAAAACTACCTACTGGAATGAAAAAATAGATGTTAATAAGTGTGTTGCACATACTTTTATACTTCTCAAAACAGTCTTGATTTATAAAAAACAAATGGTTGTCAGTAAATTTTGTTTTATGGGTTAATGAATCATTACTTATTAAATTATGTATTATTTTATTAGCTTTTTTTAATAAAAAAAAAAATTTTAGGATGAAGATATTGATGATCAACACTTTAGAAATAAAAAGCCTATGGCTGTACAAGCGGCCGCTCTAAAAGATATAGCACAGGTAATTGCTAAACTATAATAGCTAATATATTTAAACAAAAATGTTTATATTATGACTACAGTGATCCTAAAATATTTTATAAAAATTATTTAAAAATGTTTCAAATTATCTAATTTTACAATATTTTCCTTTCAATGAAAAATGTTATATTAATAAAAATGTTTTGTTATTAATCATAAATTTACAGTCTAGAGATGAAGAAGATGACTATGATCCATTTGCTGAAAGAAAACGTTTACAAAAAGGTACTACAGACAAAGATGATGACACACGACAAGTTAGAAGACCTATGGTTATTTCACCTGAACGTATTGATCCTTTTGCTGAAGGTAAATACATCTTGGTCTATGCATTTTGGTTTAAATAAAATATATTTTTAAATATTACTATGATTTACAATTTATTTATCAATATTATATTTTAAATATAATTTTAGGTGGTAAAACGCCTGATGTGGGTTCAAGAACATATTCACAGATCATGCAAGAACAAAAACTTAAAGGTGAAGAAATTGATGTTCGTAAAACAATCATTGAAAAAGCTAAAGAAGGAACATTAAAGACAACCAATGGTGATTCAAAAGGAACTGTTAGGAAGAGAGGACGTTGGGATCAAATTGTTCAAAATGGAGATTCATCTGGCGTACCAAATAAAAAAAAAACAAGTTCTGCTCCATGGGAAGAAGTTAGTATTATTAATATTAATAACTATTCCTAAAAATTAGTAGTAGTTTATTCAACAAATTTTTAACATAATTACACATTTCATATTTCTATCTAGCTTTTATTTATCTTATAATTTTTGCTTCACAATACTTCTATGTAATGATATTTTCCAAATTTATCATTTTAAGACTCCTAAAGGAGGATTATCTCGTTGGGATGAAACACCTGGAGCAGCAAAAATGGGAGCAGAGACCCCAGGTGCTACTCCAGGACAAAGTACAAGAATGTGGGATGCAACACCAGGTCATACAACTCCTGCTGCTGGAGCTGCAACACCTGGCCGTGATACTCCTGGTCATATAGGAGCTGCACAAACATCAGTTAGAAGAAACCGTTGGGATGAAACACCGAAAACAGAAAGAGGTAGCATAATAACATGTTTTTCAATGTAAGATTAATAATATCCATATTTTTTTTAGCTACACCTGGGCATAACAGTGGTTGGGCTGAAACTCCCCGTACTGACCGTGGTGGTGTTGATCTAATACAAGATACTCCTACACCATCTGCTAGCAAAAGACGTTCTCGCTGGGATGAAACTCCATCACAAATGACTCCGTCTGTTACACCAGGAGGAATAACCCCTAAAGTTATGTCATCAAATGCATCAATGACTCCTACTCCTGGAGGTATGACACCAGGTGCTACACCTATGACTCCAATGGTACCTCGTACACCTGTGCTCTCAAATAGTGCAGCAACTCCTATGGGACACAGTGCTATGGCTATGGCAACACCAACTCCAGGTAAATTAAAAAAACATTTGTACTTAAAATGGACATTTTTTAAATACTGTACAAAATGTTTTAGTTTTAATAAACTTATAGTTTTTAAAATTAAATAATTGAAAATGGTGTGGCTGAGTCGGGAACCCTGTAGTGATTTACGTTATCGCTGGCTTGAGACTTCTTGGTCACAACAGCGTAATTTGCTAAGTGAAAGATAAGTTCAGTTGTTGGAGTTGCCATCTATCTCTTTGGTGATTGAGTAATAGCAGTTCAAGAATGATGGTTAAGAAACCTCCCCTTTGAGAAAGCCATACTGGCTTTTAATGAGCCATAGAAATAAAGTGAAATAATTGAATAATCCTTAACTTAATTGTAAATTTAACTCTTAATTACATGAGCAGTCATATCTAAGTTCCTTAATAAAATAGATAGTTATTGTGTAAAAAGGTGGTTTATTTTGTTCAATTGGTAACACATTATGCTTCTCATTGCATAGATACACCAGTAATTGATTCTGTCACACTGTTTTATTTAGGTTCTCCCATTCTAATGGTGAAAGATATTTAACTATACTATTAAAAGTTGTGTAAAAAATATTAATGTTTCAGTTCAAAACTGCAACAACTTAATATTAATAATTTAATCTTTTAATTTTCATAATGTTTTTTCCCATTATTTGTTTGTAAAACAATTTCTATAAACAATTGTTAATTTATTAATGCGATTTGAGGACAGCTGATGTGAGCGTAAATGATGTGGGAGATTGTGTCAAGTGGAAGTTGAGGATAAGGATGGCCGACCCCAAGTAGTTGGGATTAAGGCGAGGAAGAAGAAGAAGAGAATTGTTAATTTATTAAATAACATATTTTTTATTTTATTTATCATTAATTTTGCTAACCTCCTTTCTAAAAGCTATTGTATGTGCTAGACAGGACGGGAAAATCTAAGTAAAATAAAAGTACCTACTTACCGAGGCACATCTTGTTACTGACTGAGCTAGGTAGGCCGTTTATCTACATATGTATATAAAAATTTATTTATTTAGGTCACTTATTGTCTATGACACCTGAACAACTTCAGGCACATCGTTGGGAACGTGAAATTGATGAACGCAACCGTCCATTAACAGATGATGAACTTGATGTTATGTTTCCTCCTGGATACAAAGTATTACAACCTCCAGCTGGATATATACCAATTCGAACTCCAGCTCGTAAACTTACTGCTACGCCTACACCTATTGCTGGTACTCCTGCTGGATTTTTTATGCAAGAATCTGTTGATCGTCCAATAAAATCTCAAATAGTCGACAATCAACCACCTGGTAACTTACCAATGTTAAAACCAGAAGATGCTCAGTACTTTGATAAATTATTAATGGATGTCGATGAAGAAAGTTTAACATTAGAAGAACAAAAAGAGAGAAAAATTATGAAACTGCTTCTTAAAATTAAAAATGGTACACCTCCAATGAGAAAAGCTGCTCTTAGACAAGTTACTGACAAAGCTAGAGAGTTGGGGGCAGGTCCTCTTTTTAATCAAATTTTACCATTACTTATGTCCCCGACTTTAGAAGATCAAGAACGGCATCTCTTGGTAAAAGTTATTGATAGAATATTGTACAAGTTGGATGATTTAGTTAGACCATATGTACACAAAGTATGTAATTATATTCTAAAAAAAAATTTTCCAAAAATTTTAACTATTTGTTAAATTTTTAGATTTTAGTAGTTATAGAACCACTATTGATTGATGAAGATTATTATGCACGTGTAGAAGGTCGAGAAATTATTTCCAACTTAGCCAAAGCTGCAGGCTTAGCTACTATGATTTCAACAATGAGACCTGATATCGACAATATTGATGAATATGTGCGTAATACAACAGCTCGAGCATTTGCGGTAGTAGCTTCAGCATTGGGTATTCCTTCACTCTTACCATTCTTAAAAGCTGTGTGTAAAAGTAAAAAATCTTGGCAAGCACGTCATACAGGTAATATAAAATTTTATTTCTTAATGCGATCAATTTTTGATAAATGAATTTTATTAGGCATAAAAATTGTTCAACAAATTGCAATCTTGATGGGATGTGCTATTCTTCCTCATTTACGTTCTTTGGTTGAAATTATTGAACATGGTTTAGTGGATGAACAACAAAAAGTACGAACAATTACAGCGTTAGCTATAGCCGCTTTAGCTGAAGCTGCCACTCCTTATGGTATTGAAAGTTTTGATTCTGTTCTAAAACCATTATGGAAGGGTATAAGAACTCATAGAGGAAAAGTAAATATATTGGAATAACTACTTATTTATTGAATGAATAAATTTGTTAATAACTAATTTTTATTAATAATAGGGGTTAGCTGCTTTTTTAAAGGCTATTGGTTATTTGATTCCATTGATGGATGCTGAATATGCTAATTATTACACAAGAGAAGTAATGTTAATTTTAATTAGAGAGTTTCAGTCACCCGATGAAGAAATGAAAAAAATTGTTTTAAAAGTAAGTAATATTTATATTTTATTTTTATAATTGAAAAAAAAAAAGTATTATTGTTTACTATTTCGGCTTCTTAGGTTATTGACTGAATTATGTTACTTTATTTACATACTTTACGTTGGTAGTTAAATATTACTATTGCTTAGCTAGTGGTTCAGTACATTTTTTTTTGTAATAGGTTGTTAAACAATGTTGTGGAACTGATGGTGTTGAACCACAATATATTCGTGAAGATATATTACCTCATTTTTTTAGACACTTCTGGAATCATAGAATGGCTTTAGACAGGCGAAATTATAGACAGGTATAAATAAAATTTGAATAATTAATAAGTTTTTCTGTATTTAAGTTATACGCATACCAAACATAAGTAACTAGGTATTTAATTTATCAAATTTTAGTTAGTTGATACTACTATGGAAATTGCTAACAAAGTTGGAGCCTCAGAAATTATTAACCGCATTGTTGATGACTTAAAAGATGAAAATGAACAGTATCGTAAAATGGTAATGGAAACTATTGAAAAAACTATTGGTAACTTAGGTGCTGCTGATATTGACTCTAGACTTGAAGAACAACTTATTGATGGTATTCTTTATGCTTTCCAAGAACAAACAAATGAAGTAAGAATAAAAAATTTAATTTATTAATAAAATGTTAAAAATTATTATTGTAACACAGGATGTTGTTATGTTGAACGGATTTGGGATGATAGTTAATCAGTTAGGTCGAAGAGTTAAACCATACTTACCCCAAATTTGTGGTACAATATTATGGAGATTAAATAATAAATCGGCAAAAATTAGACAACAAGCTGCAGATTTAATTGCTCGAATAGCATGCATTATGAAAATTTGTCAAGAAGTATTATAACTTATTTTTCTTGTTATATTTATGAGCAAACTTATTTTGATTTTTTTATTAGGAAAAACTAATGGGACATTTAGGTTTGGTTTTGTATGAATATTTGGGTGAAGAATATCCAGAAGTGTTAGGAAGTATATTGGGTGCTTTGAAAGGTATTGTAAATGTGATTGGAATGACCAGAATGACACCACCTATCAAAGATTTGTTACCTCGATTAACACCAATTTTGAAAAATAGACATGAGAAAGTTCAAGAAAATTGCATTGATCTTGTTGGTCGAATAGCTGATAGAGGTCCTGAGTATGTGCCTGCTAGAGAATGGATGCGTATATGTTTTGAATTACTTGAGCTACTGAAAGCTCATAAAAAAGCAATTAGGAGAGCAACTGTTAATACTTTTGGTTATATTGCTAAAGCTATTGGGTGAGTAAATGTTTTTTTATTGAAAAAGTTAACAAAAGTTTTTCTTTTGTAGTAAATGATACAATTGAAAAATCAATTGATTTTTATTGACAGGTATAGTTTATGTTAACTGCTCAATAATTAAATTATATTATTATTTGTATTTTGTTTTTGTTTTTTAGACCTCATGATGTATTAGCTACCCTATTAAACAATTTAAAAGTTCAAGAAAGACAAAATCGAGTTTGTACTACTGTGGCTATTGCTATTGTAGCTGAAACGTGTTCTCCTTTTACTGTGTTACCAGCATTAATGAATGAATATCGTGTACCTGAACTGAATGTTCAAAATGGTGTACTTAAATCATTATCCTTCTTATTTCAATACATTGGTGAGATGGGCAAAGATTACATTTATGCTGTAACTCCACTTTTAGAAGATGCTCTTATGGATAGGTACTTAATAATTTTTTTTGTTTTATAATAGCTATATTAATTTATTTTTATTTTCAAATAAAAGCACCTTAATAATTTTTTATTATAAATTGATATACATTAATATAGATTTAAATATACAATTTTATAAGTATATAAATTATTTGAACTAATTCTCTTGAATAACATATATTTTTAAAGTAGGAAAAATGTTTTTTCGCAACAAATTTAACATCATTATTTTTTTATTTAAATCTTATAATATGACAAGATACTATAAAAAGTTTAGATTTTTTAGAGATTACATAAATATGTAGTTTGGAATTGTCATAATAAGACAATTCCAAAACTGCAATAAAACTTGATATACTTATTTATAGACTATTTAGGTTTTTGAAATAACTGATTTATTTATAAGGCTCAATATTATTTTATTGTTTGAAGAAAAAAATTATATTCCTCCATTGAGTTCTTATTCATAGTCAATATGACATCAATATTAAAATATTACTTTTATTATTTAATTGTTTTCTAATAACATTTAGTGCAAAAATTATTTAAAGAATTAAAAAATAAAATAATTTAAATTAAATTGATTATATATTTATTTATTTATAGAGACTTAGTACATAGACAAACGGCATGTGCAGCTATTAAACATATGGCACTTGGAGTTTTTGGCTTTGGTTGTGAAGATGCCTTAATACATTTATTAAATTATGTATGGCCAAATATTTTTGAAACATCCCCACATTTGGTTCAAGCTTTTATGGAAGCGGTAGAAGGTTTAAGAGTTGCTTTAGGTCCTATCAAGATACTCCAATATACTCTTCAAGTAAATCCTCATTATTAGTTATTAATTAAATATTAATTTACTTTAAATGTTGTTTTTAAATTCAATATTTATTCAATCGAAAATATATAATAATCATATTTAATTAAAAACAACTATTTTTATTAATAAACTAACTCTAAAAAATAGTTTATAATTAACAATATTTACTGCAACAATGTATCTCATAATTTGATGAAATTATCATAAAACTATTTTGAATATTTCAAAATATTTTTTATTTTATAAGAATTATTGTTTTTTATTGTAAATTATGAAAATTATATCACTTCTTGTATAACAATTGGGATTGTTCAGGTTAACAATTTTTAAGATAGGTTGGATATCAGACAGAACAGTATAATTCACTCTGGATGTATTTTTATCTGATCATTTGTAAAACACAATAAATTAGTAAAATAATTCCAGAAAATTTTTTAACAATCCCAATATTTGGAAATTACCTAATTACTGTAATTTTTTCTAATACTCCAAAACCCAAATAATACTTATAATGATATTTAATTCAAATTTTTTTTGTGCTCATAATCGAAACTTTCCCAAATTAAAATATGTACTGTTGCAATATAAACAGTTTTCTGTTTATATTATAGGCCATATAATAATTATTTTAAATAAATAGAACACTTCATATTTATAATTATTAATTTAATATAATTACTACCCTATTAACTATTTTTTTTAGTTATAAATTACTCTAATATTACAGTATGTTTAATTTTATAGCTAGTATAATTATAAATAAATAAATAATTAGTTATGACTAAGTGATGTTATATTTTAATGAATTTTTAGGGGTTATTTCATCCTGCCCGAAAAGTACGTGATGTTTATTGGAAAATATACAACTCTCTTTATATCAGTGCTCAAGATGCTTTAGTTGCTGGTTATCCCCACATAGAAAATGATGTCAAAAATCAATATGTCCGCTATGAATTAATGTACACTTTTTAATACTTTTTAAGAGCAATTATTTTTTGTAAATACCTATTTAACTTTTCATTTATTAATGTGGTGTTTAATATTGTTTAAACTTACAATAAATACATTTTATAAATAAATAATAATGAAACTATAAATTTATCTACACTTATTTTTATTACATTATATTTCTATTCATAAGAAACTTATAGTAATAATTTTGAAAATACACTTCTTTTTTAATGATATTTCTGAATTTATATCAAACTGACTTTCTATGCATTATTAAGTCAACAAATAATACTGATGGTATACTTGATAAATACATATAATAGTACGTAAATCATAGTAAAATGAATAAGAAGTATGCTTAATAAATTAGTGCGCATGATTGGCCTAGGGTCAAATTATACAACCAACAATATACTCAACGTGACGTCACACGTAAATACGTTGCGTAGATATTCTTATTAAAGGACAACGTCTTGATTACATATAGCCAAGTATTTTAATGAACTTTTTTAGTAGATTTCGGTTTCAAAATTCAATTATAATTTTTTTATTATTAATAAAGTTAACTGTGTTGTAATACATCTTTATGTATTATCTACTACATGGTAGTAGTTTATCAAACAAAATTTAACTGGTTGATAAATCTAACCTGAGTAAAACTTTAAATGCATATAAATAGTTAAATATCAATTTATTGTGTAATTACTTACAGTAAATATAAATTGTTACGGTATTTATAAAAACCACATAGTGAATTGATTTATAATTTGAATTATTATTTTTAAATTTTTAATTTTAGCTTCGATGCGAAGCGGAGAAGGTATTAATTTTACTATGTTTTTTTTTTTTTTTTTTTTTTTTCTGTCGCCACTTTTTCTCAGCTCTCACTGGACCGATTTCTTTCAAAAATACGTCAAAAGATCACAAATCGTATCTAGTTGAAGACATTACCCTTAAAAATTGAAAAAAATTCCCTCGTTCCCCGCAAATGGGGGAAATATCCAAAAAAATTACAAATTTAAAAATCGCTAATTTTCGAAATTTTTTCACTTTTTTTTCTTAAAACTTCCATAACTTTTTGAAAAATCAACAAATCAACATAATTTTTTTTTATACTAAAACCTTAGATATTTACCTTTCATTTGATATCATTTTTTTGAAAATCTATCACTTAACCTGCTCATTGGGTGGGATTAAAAAAGGCAACTTTTTTACAAAAATTAATTTTTGAAAATGTTCCGGAAATATTGCGTCCTTCAAACATATATGAAATTAAAGCTTATTTTATGTACTATAAAATTAAAAAAAAAAATTTGTCCCGACGATCTATCTTCTACATTTAAACGGCTGCCGTAGTTAAAAAAACACTATTTTTGTGTTAAAATTTTCGATTTTAAATTTTCAACTTAAAAATGCTATAACTTTTTGAAAAATGTATATATCAGCACAAATTTTTTTTTTCTAAATACATTATAAGTACATCTTTCATTTGACATACTTTTTATTAAAATTGGACAATTTCCCCTTATATAGGGGGCGTTCAAAACTTAAAATATTGTAAAAAACATAGATCTTTTTCAACTGAACTTTTGAAAATGTTCCGGAAATACTGCGTCCTTTAAACATATATCAAATCAAAGGTTATGTTATACCTTATCAAATGAAAAAAAAAAATTTGTCCCGACATCTTATCTTCTATGTGCAAATGGCTGTCGAAAATTTAAAAAAAAATGTAATGTTTGCGATAAAAATTACATTTTATCGGGATGTTTTTTGTACTTAAAACTGCCATAACTTTTTCAAAAATGAACAAATAAAAATAATATTTTTTTGTATTGAAACCTTAGATATTTCCCTTTCATTTGATATAATTTTTTTTGAAAATCTAACACTTATTCTGCTCACTGGGAGGATTTAAAATAGTAACTTTTTTACAAAAAATAACTTTTTCAACTTAATTTTTGAAAATGTTCCGGAAATACTGCGTCCTTTAAACATATATAAAATTAAAGCTTATTTTATGTACTACAAAATGAAAAAAAAAATTTGTCCCGACGATCTATCTTCTATACGCAAATGGCTACCATATTGAAAAATATGCTATTTTTGTATGAAAATTATGGGTTTTGTATTTTATTTTAATAGAAGTTGATGTTGCTTTTGCAATTATCCATCAATTTTTTAAAATTAAACACTATCTACAGATTTGCACGGAAGCGTTTCTTATGATAGCGATTTTAATCACTGTCAGATTAAATCTATACTGGACCCAACTATGCAATGTCTCCACTATGCCGCGACCCCCCTGTGCTACCGTTTTTTTAGCTTCAATGCGAGGATGAGAATGATTAAATTTTTTTTTTTTTTGTGTCTGTTATCATTTTTTTCAGCTCTTACCGAACCGATTTCTTTCAACAATACGTCAAAATATCACAAATTGTATCTAGTCGAAGACAAGCCCTCAAAAATTGAAAAAATTTCATTCGTTCCCCGTAATTGGGGGAAATCTCCAAAAAAATTATAAATTTAAAAATAGCTAATTTTCGACATTTTGTCAATTATTTTTACTTAAAACGGCCGTAACTTTTTCAAAAATGACCAAACCAATATAATTTTTTGTTTATTCGATGTCTTTACCAATCATTTGATATATATTTTTTATAAATCTGAACCTTTATCTGCCCACAAGGAGAATTAAAAATGACAACTTTTTTATAAAAAATTAACTTTTGAAAGTGTTCCGGAAATCCTGACACTTTTATACATACCTTAAATTAAAGCTAATGTAATATACTTTATTATGGAAAAAAAATGTCGGACTTTATTTTGTCTTCACGGTGAAAATGGCTACCGAATGTTATTTTAGTGTGAAAATTCTCGATTTTATATTTTACATATTTAGATTTATATTTATATAACTTTTTGAAAAATGTATGGATCAATACAATTTTTTATACTATACTAAGCCCAGAGTTTTTCTAATATCATCTAATTAAAATTTAATCATGTATGTATAAAATATTTTACATTAACTGTATTTCTATAAGTACCATTTCCATTTAATTTTTTAAGAATAGTTTCTAGGATTTTTCATAAATTTATTAACGTAGGTGAAGGTTATCTTAATATCCCAAATTGTTTAGCCTCTATCCAATCATTAAGTTTATTCAAATAATCCACATGATTCGGATATTTTTATTCAAATTTAAATGCTACATACCTCATTAAATATGCGAGGCTGTTCTATTTATTGAAGTTAATAAATCTAAATGAGATAAAAATTAAATGATTAGAAAATTTTTCTAACTTAAAAAAGTGCAAAATATTAATTGCCACAGGTAGATTTGAACCTGGAATCCTAACCGTGAAAGACACAAGTGTTACCCATTTGGCAACTGTTAGTCGCTTTCGCCCAAATTTAAGCTAATTAAATTTTAAAGATACTTTTTTGACTTTAAAAAAAGCAAAAAAATTTAAATAAGTTTAACTTCTTATGTCTTATGAACTTTATTCTAAATAATAATATAAGCTTTAATTTAAGATTAAATTAAAGTGTCAATATTACCGGAACATTTTCAAAAATTGAAAAAGCTTAACTTGTGTACAAAAATTATTATTTGAATTCCCCCTGCGGGCAGGTTTAGATTTTCAAAAAAATTAAATCAAAATTTTTTTTTTGAACTTATAGGATTTATTGTAAGCTTTAATTTGACATATGTTTAAAGGATGCAGTATTTCCGGAACATTTTCAAAAGTTCTACTTATACGTATTTTTCAAGTTTTGAAAGCCCTCTGTATAAAGGAAAATTGTTCAATTTAAATAAAAAGTATGTTAAATGAAAGAGGTATATATAATGTATTTAGAAGAAGAAAAATTGTGTTCATACATACATTATTCAAAAAAGTATAGCAATTTAAAGTTGAAATTAAAAATCGAAAATTTTAACAAAAAATAGCATTTTTTAACTACGGCAGCAGTTTACACGTAGAAGATAAAGTGTCGGGACAAATTTTTTTTTTCATTTTATAGTACATGACATAAGCTTTAACTTGATATACGTTTAAAGGATGCAGTATTTCCGGAACATTTTCAAAAATTAAGTTGAAAAAGCTAGTTTTTGTAAAAAAGTTGCTATTTTAAATCCCCTCCTGTGAGCAGTTTTAATTTTTATTTTACGTTAATTTTTAAAAAAGTTATGGTAGTTTTAAGAAAAAAATGACTAAATTTGCTAATTAGAAAAATTGTAATTTTTTTAATTTTTAAGGGTAATGTCTTCAATTAGATACGATTTGTGATCTTTTGACGTATAGTTGAAAGAAATCGGTCCAGTAAGAGCTGAGAAAAAGTGGTAACAGACAAAAAAAACACATCATGGTAAAATTAATACCTTCTCAGCTTTGCATCGAAGCTAAAATACTCAAATATAGGCTAAAAAGTTACAAATCTCTATTATGAGACACTCAGAAGAGAAAATAATAAAATACAACAATTTAATGCAAATAATAATAACTTATTAGGATGTTAAAGTGGTGTTAATTCAATATGAGAACATGAAAAAAGAAGTCTGTACAGTAGTTAATATAACTCACGTTTAATTAACAAGGTATACAATCGTAATTTTTCATTAAAATATAAGTTACAAAAAAAATACATAGAATCTAAAATAAATATCCACGGTTAAACTTATTATAAAATAGTATTGCAATGCATTGTCTTAAAGTAATTAATATAATTATTACTTAAAATTATGTCTATCATTGATATTAATCAGAATTATCCATTTAAAAATAGAATGATTTTCAAGTGCAATCGTCAGTGGTCGTTTTTCACCGATCGTATAAGAAATGCACAAAAACACAAGGCAATCAACATGCATGTTCTACGACGCAAATTCAGACTATATTCGAACATACTTCTTATTCATTTTACTATGATGTAAATACAAGTTGAGTCTGGTCAATATATGATAAAAGATATACTTTATATTAACTTTGACATGACCATGGTCGTGTTTTTTACATATAGAAAAATACAGTACAATCAGTGGTATAATCACAGAATAGATAACACCTTATCTATTCGGTGGTATTAAGGTCATACTGTTTTATGCACATATATACATAATGAATATAAAAGATAATATTATCTTTTGTAGCTAGTTGGTTTCCGTGGGTTTTATCATAAATAGACATTTATCTAAAAAATTTATTTTACAAGGGTTCCAATCAATAAATTATTTTAACAAATGAAATGACAAATTTAATTAAATTGTAAAAAAAAAAATAATACTTTTTATCTCCATGTCATTTTCAAAGCAATTTTGAATTTTATGCATTGTTCACTATTTTTTTTCAACTCTTCATTAAATTTAATGTCATTAATGAAGTTTTGAAATAAATATATATTTAAAGAGTATTACTGCAAATCATTCTAAACAAAGTATTATTGGTAAGTTCAACTTAAATAAATTATATTAATTATTTTAATGTAAATTTTATTGTATGCATAATTTTGAAGGAATTTTACTAAATCAAATTTGTGTAAAATTTTTGATGACTTAATTGTTAAGCCACTATTTTCCTCGTACATAATAGTATAAAATACACTTCAAAAATGTTATGAAAATCACTTTTCTTCTTGTTAATTAAAACATAAGTAATTATTTAATAACAAATATTCTAAAGTACATTTATTATTAAATAGAAGAAGTTAATTGACTATGATATGAAATATTTAACTAATAACAAAAGAATTATTGCATCCGAAAAATTTAGAATTTACACAAGAGTATTTATAAAATTATATTATTTCTTTATTTCAAAATTTAAGATATATATTGTGAGTTCTATTTATAGTATTAAATTTCAGTCTTGCCAAATTATAATTGACACTTATAGATCATTCAGATGTGTATTTTTATAATTATTTGAATATTTTTTTGGCAAATTTTCAAAATGTTTATTTTTTATAATTTTGTGTAAAGTGTTCTCAAAACAAATAAAAAAAAAGCATTTAGGTAAATAAAGTCATCTCAATAAAAATGTATAGTATTTGTATTAGGTTAAAAATATTAATCTATGTATTTTTTTTCTAACCATATCAACAAAATTAAGATAAAAAGTAAGAGAAATTTATTATTGAGTCAATTTAATTTGTTTAGCTATTTTTTGTTGTTTTTTAATAGAGATGGAAAGTAATAATATTATATTAGTGAAACCTTAATATAATAATAATCTAGCTTAATTTTTGTAAGTTATAAGAAAAATTAAAATTTTAACAATATGCAATAAAAAATATTTTTTACTTAGTCATTACAGTGTAATAATAATAGTCCATATAAAGGAGAAATGTCTTGAGACAGGTTTCCAGATTTTGGAATCTAAGATTTTCTGTTAAAGCATAGAGTGAAATTTAAACAATATCATGTATTGTAGGAGTCCTATTTGAATTTTAGACACATGCCTTACTATACCTCAATCCAGTCTTGACAATATCAATTAATGATAAATTATTAATTATAAGTTATAAATTAATAAATATTTAACATTCACTCTTTTTTTATTAGATGGTTACAATGTAAGATAAAAAAATTCTTTTTTAATGTGATAAAAGAAAATTCTTTAGATTAATAATTTAATTTTTCTAAATTTAAAAAATACTGGAAATATAATTAAATGAGACATACTATTTTGCAAATGGAATCATTTTTAGTTTATTGATATAATTTGCATTATTCTTAATGTAAAAATATATAATTATTATATATCAAGTAAAATAATCAAATTTAAATCACTCCAAAAATTTAAAATAATTGAATTTTGAAATATTAAACTATTGAGCAATATGTACTACTTTAAATGTTTGATCAAAGAATTAATACTATGAATATCATACTAATGTGATTAAATAAAGAGCAAAGTTCAAACTAGATAAAATTTGTCTGACTAATTATTCATGAACTCTTTTGTATAATATTATGATAATATTGACTCCTTGGTGACCAAATAGATTATATATATTAAATTAAGTTTGATTATATACTACATAGCTGTATTATAATAATTGTATTTTATTATTTTAAAATGCCAAAATTAAAGCTTAAAAGAAGGATATCTAATGTATCAGTGAACATGGCTTCAGTATGGAAAAGATTGCAAAGAGTTAACAAAAGAGCAACAAAATTTCAGTTTACTTTATCATATCATCAAATTGTTTGTGAAACTACATCTAAATGGTATATAGTTTGTCTTAGCAGTTAAATATAAACATTTTAATTTACTTTATTTTGTTTTATTAATTCTTATAAGGACTCCAAGCAAGTTAATTGTAGTTTTGAGTCGTAGAAGTCGTCGTTTTGTTAGTGAAATATTACCTTGGGAACCAACAATGAAAGATCCCCTTAGAGGTGTAGTAATATGGCCTGTTCCGGAAAATAAACTACTATCGATTACACTATTTAAAGATCCTCGAAGTAATGAACATGAAGACAAAGAATGGAATTTAACTATAGAAGATGTAAGTAATAAAAATTATTGAATTATTTATTTCATTTTAAAGTATGTAGTTTTTTGGCTTAAAAAGTTAGATTTAAAAAATTTGACATAAAAGTTTTTGAATATTGAGATTCTTTTTGATAAACTTAGCTATTTATAATGCTTTTTAACATAATAATAATTTATTAATATATGTAGGTAGGTTAATTAGTGATGTAGCCAGAAATTTTTTCTGCGGTTGAGAGAAACATTTTACTATATTAAAATAATTTTTCTTGCTTAATATTCATCTAAAAGTACAATATTTAGTAATTCGGTCATCGAGTTAAATTTGGAGCGAGTTTGAAGTCTCATCAACTTCCTGGTTATGCCAATGACATAAATAATTCTTAGAATCCTTTTTAAAAATTCTTTATTCTATTAAATACCTCATAGTATAAGGTATTGAAGCTAATTTATTTTTTCTAAAGTGCTATTGTAGTTTTATATTGTCTAAATATAAAAAAAAAATATAATGATAATTTATTAATATATCTACAAATAATATTTTGACTAATTATTTATTTTGTGGTTTTAAAAGTTTTACTGTAATTTAATGTATACTAAAATGAAAATGAGAAATAGTTAAAAATTTTAAATATTTTTTAAGTTGTTTGGATAGTTTAATTAATTAGTTGATATATATATTTCATAAAAAGTCTAAAAAACATTTATAGTAGAATAGAATAACCAGGCAATGAAAATCAGGGGATGTGAGAGTAAGCCTACATGCTAGCTAATTTAGAATTCGAATTGCGTTATTGAGAAAAATCCTTTTATTGTATTTTAAGCAAATTGCAATTTTGGTAACTTGTTTTATATATTTTAAAACTAAAAAGTTGGTACATAATAGTTTTTTTTACTAAACACAATTTATATTATGTTTAATTATACATATTAAAATTAAAATAATTAACTTTAATGATATATTCAAATAATTACAACAGAAAATTACTATTCCTTTTTACAAAAAAAGGTTTTTTTTTTTTAATTTAATTTGATTACTTTTAATTAAATAAGTACAGAAAATTTAAGAAATATTTTTATCAAAGGTAAGCAGTTTAGGAAAACACAGACAAATTGCATGTGCTGTTATAAATATGAAAAAATATGCAAGTGTCGATTCTTCACAACATCAAATTATATTAGATTTTAAACCAACATCCAAAAAAATTACTTCAGCTTCTCTTGAAATGACTCTATCTTGTGTGTTTTTAAGAGAAGGAAAAGCTACGTAAGTAAATAAAAATTTTTTTTAGAAGAATAAGTTTTATTTAATTATTCATTATTTATTTAATTATTTAATTTAAAAAATTATAAATATTTAATTGGTAAATTTTATAAAATATAAACTTTTGTAGCAGTTCAATTTTTATAACTTTAAATGAGAATATGTTGAGTGCTCTAAGTTCTGTAAAATTTAAAAATTGTTCTTTTCTCTTTATGTTCTATGTGTACAGGGTAACTATCATAAACGTAATCCAAATGGCAAGTTAATTTATTTATATTTTAACAATTTTTTTATCAACAGGACCTGTTCAAATTTTTTTTTTTCAAAAAAATATACATTTTTAAGGAAACGAAGATTTTATAGTAAGAGTAGGTGTGCACCAAAATTCTGATTTAAGCTCTTACTTTTTTTTTGTAGTAATAGATGAAATTATTAAGAAAATACAAAAAGAGATATTGTAATGCATGTTATTTGCTATTAGATGCAATTGGGATGATATAAAAACTACTGGTGTGTATATAATTATCAAGGGAAATTGTGTCAAATGAAGAAGGTTTATATATGGACAACTAATCCCAATATAATAGTTGGGATAAAGATGAGGGAGAAGAAGAACAACTTTTTAAATGTTATAGTGATAACTATAAAAATGTGTGAATACTTTATGTATTGTTGAATGACATATACATTAGAATGATCTTTAAAATACAAATTTTTAAACTCAATTTTCTCACTCCCCTAAATTGTCTAGCTTCATGTATAATTGGGCTGTGCAAAATTTAAGGTTGATATGTAAGGGTTAACATGTACCATAAACACATTTAAAGATAAATAATATTGTTATTTAAAAAAACTAATTAATTAACTTTCTAGTTCTTTTAGTTTTTGATGAAGAAAAAATATAATTTTTTCAAAAATTGTTTCACATATTTTTTTTATTAATTAACTATTATTGGATTTGATTGCCTTTGATGTTTTGATGTAATTTAATAAAAAAATTATATTATTATTAATTAATTAAATTATTTTTATAGTGATGAAGACATGATGAGTATGGCAAGTCTTCTAAGTACAAATACTAGTGATATTGCTCCTCTTGAAGATTTTGACGAAGAAGACATTGAAGGTAATTTAAGAAACTTAATACATAATTGAAGCTACATTTTTTTGCTATTTTAGATTATGAATCTTCTTTTGATCAAAATATAAATAATTTATCACAAATGACAAATAAAATTGAACTTTTAACCAACAGTCTAAGTGACCCAAATTTTGAAGGTACATCTGATAGTAAGTTTAAATATTTTCATATTGCACAATTTTTTGATTTCAACATTAGTAATAACTATTTATTTTTAGAAGGTAATAATTTCTTTACAAATACAGAAGAAAATTTTGATAAGCCTGCTAATAATTCTGAAACATTAGTTATGAACTTAAATGCTAAAAATGTTGAAAATATATCAAACAAGACACATATGTATGGTTATGCTTAGTAAATGTTTATATGGAGAATTATATTCAATTATTTTGTTTTAGAAGTTCTAAAGAAGTTGATAATGATGTCAAGAATTCGAGGGCAGCTTTAAAACCATTAAACTTAAAAGAAGTATGTTCATTAGCTTTAAATCTTTTAAGGAGATCTAATGTATCAGTGGAAAAATCATTTTATTTAAACTATTATTTTTACCTAGTACAACAAATTTTGAGTTTCAGAAATCAAATATTGTTATGAAAGCAATTTCAAAACACTGTTTAATCAAATTCTAAAAAATAAAAATCAAATTAAAAAATTCTTGAACAAATTTATAATTAGAAATAGAAAAATAAGTATTTTTTAATTATTTGCATAAAAAGTTAGGCTATTTTTTATTTATGAAACAACACTATCAACCCCAACCGGTTAAAATTATCAATTACTATTGTAACTAGATATATATAAAAAAAAATTTCAATTATATTCTGAGTATTACAACTAATATTATAGACTGTAGAAAAATAGTAAACAAATTCAAATTTTAACAAAATTCAAGTTTAGAATATAATCCAAGTATATGAAATTTGAACATCAATATTTTTTTTTAGATCATCTTATTATATATACATTACCAATATTTTTAGTGTATTAATTAATAATTATTTACATACAGGCAAACTCTGATAACTCAAAAGGTATTGAAACCACAACACCTGGCCAAGATCTTCTTGAATGGTGTAAAGACATAACTAAATCTTATGCTGGTGTTAAAGTTACCAATTTAACAACATCATGGAGAAATGGTCTTGCATTTTGTGCTATAATACATAATTTCCGCCCAGATTTAATGTTGGTAAAATTACATATTAAAGTTAATACTACACTAATGATTTTATTGTCATTTTATAGAGATTTTGAGTCACTGAAGCCACATGACATTAAGGGTAACTGCAAGGCTGCATTTGATGCTGGTGAAATATTAGGAATTTCCCGTGTAATTGAACCATCAGACATGGGTGTTCTCACAGTTCCTGATAAACTAGCAGTTATGACTTATTTGTACCAATTAAGAGCTCATTTTACTGGTAAAATAATCTTGTTAGAAAATAATAATAGTGATCATACTTGTACAGTAGATTCTTTATATGTTAAATGTTGTTGTCTCGAACCTATTTAAAATCCTTTAAACACTGACATTACATTCAATATTTATTTATTTTTTTATAATTTGATAATTCGGTGTAAAATTTAATTTCTTTTGTTATCTCAAATACATAAATAGAATTTAAGATAAGAATCAATTGTATAACTACAGGTTTACACTTGTGAATCCTGATAAAATCTAGATTGCAGAAGTATATTTTTGCAAAGACAAATCTTATTTTGAGTCAAATATGTAGTAATGTGTTTAAAAAATGTCCATCAGTATTTATTATTAGCTAGTCAGTTTTTTTACTAGCTAATTATAAATTTTTGACTAGTCATTCATGTTTTAAACCCCAGTTTCATAAAATAAGAATTATGGGTCAAAAGATATTAAAAACAACGACTTCCTACCTTTTAATCATTTTGTGGTCTCTAAGACATTGTCTAAATTAAACCACTGTTGATATCTGAAAATTGCTTAGTAGGTATAATCAATGTTACTGTATTGGTACTAAAAATAATAATTTTAAACCATAATAACAATCATGTAATTTATTTTCTATGTATTATGTATATTGTAGATATGTATACATATAATTATTCGCAACAAATAAAGCAGTATCTCAATTTTTCTCAGTTTTAAGAAGATTAAAAATAAAATTTAATCTTTGATTACTTGCTATATATTTATCAATTTTCTAAGTAGTTAAATTGCATCCAAACCAAATTTTCGATATTTTGATAAAAGTTATAAAAAGAAGAATAAAGACTTAAGTCAAATACTAGTTTTCTTTTGAATATATTTTTAGAATAAAAATATTAAATTTCAAAAAAATTGTCAGTTTAACAAGTAGATTTCATTCACAGAAAATTTCTATATATCTAAACTGTCCTTATGAAAACCGCATGCCATTATATCATTTATAACTTATTATAACTTAGTCAATATCTTAGGGCATGAGCTAGAAGTTCAACAAATTGGTAAGACTACAGATGAATCATCATACATGGTTGGACGATTTAATAATCCAGATAAAGAAATATCACTTCAATTATTTGAAAAAGAAATAAAAAATTTTAGAAGTTGTGATTTAGATGAAAAAGTGCAACATTCTAAAAGGTGTTTGTGACATAGTAACAGTTTCAAAAATGTTAACTATAATATATTTTACGTCTTATAGTACTCTTGACCATAATATTGGTGATACAATAAAAGAATATTCTCCAGTATTGGATGGACTTACTGATAAAATTATGAATGGCTCTAAAAGTATTTTTGACAAAGTTCTTTCTCCTTCAAAAGAAAAACTATCTTTTTTCAAAGAAAAAGTATTAAATTTAAGAAAACTTATTTTAATTTTTATTTACAATTATTTATGTTTAAACAGGGGAAATCAGTAATGCTATCCAAGAAACAACCCACAGATCCTAATTCTTCTGAAGATAACAAGTATTATAAGAATTTATATTTAATATATATTTGCTTTTCATTTGAGAAATAAAAAATATGTCAATCTACCAATTAAATAAAAGTATATATTTATATATGGGTGTTCCATCAGATTTTGATATCATTAATAACTTTTGATCCAGAAATAACATTTTTCATTACTTTATTTTAAATAATTTTTATGTTTGAATGTTGTTAAAAATATTTCATGTCTAATAAAAAAATACTTATAGTTTTTTGAAATTTCAAAAGAGCAATTTTTTAGCTTTTTCCTTACAAAAACATTTGATGGGGTGATAGCAATTTTAGGGCAACTACAGTTGATGTAGTCAACTTAATAATAATTGAGCACAATGAGTTATAAACATTTTAATACACAAATTGAAAATTTAGCCAAAATTAAGTTTTTGTTTTTCATTTAGCTAATTAAAAAATGTTATTACTTCTTAAAAATATATGCCTTCCAATATAATTACTGGTACACCGTAGTATTTTTTGTAATGGTTAAAAGAGACTAATAATCAAAAAATCCCAATTTAAGTTGATATGTTCCTATACCCTTGATAAGTACTTGTACTAGAGTTTTTATGAACCAATTAAATTTTTTCATAAAAAAAAGCAAAAAATAGCTATTTTGTAATTTTGTTAAGATTAAAAAAAAAAAAATTCTTATTAAAGAAATATAACTAATATTCTAATCCAAAACTGTAAAAAAAAAAAATAATAATTCAAAATATTTGCTCAATGAAAAGTTATTAAAGATGTCAAGATCTTGTGGGACACCTGTATAAACATTTTTTTTAAGATTGAGGGCTCTGGACCAAGGTTATCTTCAAAATATTTTTCCTGTGGCTCTATGGATATTTGTATCTATTATCTTGGTCATCACTAAAAACAGGATTTATAAATTTTGTTATTCCAAACACATTATCAGCCAGTACAAATTTGTACTTATAGACTTAAAAATTTAGTAAAATAATCAGAGATAATAGTGTTGGGGGTTAAATTTGACTTAAAACAAAAAATATTTCTATGCTTCTGTGTATTCCAATTACAAATTTGCACTTCGATATTTTTAAAATGGCTCAAACAAAATTAATATAATTAATTTTTAAATTGTATTCAATTATGCTGATTTATGTAAACACACACACACACACACACATAGATATTCAGTAAGTAAGGAAATGGGTATCTATTGTTTTCTTTGTTTGTAACAACTGATCTGTTTTCTTACTTACTGATTATTGTGTATATATATATGGAATTCAAGCAGATAAAATTATTTGCTTTCCAAAAATGTGTATAGTGTATATAAAAAAAAATACAATTCTCTCAACACATAATTTTAATAATATATAACATAAAAAAACAAACTGATAAGATAACCTTGAAAAAATTGTAATATTTAAAACTACTTTTACAAAGAATAAACCCATATATATATAGGGTGATTCACTGATCACAACTCAATTAATTGAAAAATAAAAATAATATAAATAATTATTTATTGATATCTATTAGTTCAATGTTTTTCTCAATGTATCAATAATTAAAAAAATTAAAGTTGTCACTCCTATAAAGTATAAGAGATAAACATAATTTTTTTTATGATTGATACATTAAGAAAAATATTAAACTAATATAAATGTATAAAATATTATTAATATTATTTTAATTTTTTGATTAATTAAGTGGTTCATGATAAGTGAATCATATATGAAGAGTGAATGTGTCAAACGTTCTATGTGCCAAAAACATATTTGTTCAGAAAACACAAAAAACAATGGTAACATGGGCATGTCTTACATATCGAACACCATCTATGAATGCAATTTTGTACAAGTAAAAAATTTAATTGACATTTGAAACACATACAAGATTGTGGCCTTTGGCACATAGAACATAAATCAGAAATAAAACAATTTTTCACTTTTTTGGCACATAGAACGTTTGACACATTAACTCTTCATATATATGTTTGTATGTGTATGTGAGATTTATTTATACATTTTTTTAAAGTGTTTCTCATACTTATGGTGAAAAAAGCAAAAGATTAACAAGATCTCAATCTACAAATGAGGTAAAATTATTTATTATTTGTTTTTGTTTCTGTTTTTGTTTTGTTTTTATAAAGTTTTAATTAATACCTACTTGCATTTATTTTTAAAATCATAATATCATTCAGAATTTAAAAATATCTGGAGATAAATTTACTGAACCAAAATCATTCCAAGAATCTTCAAAAAATCATTCCTCTGACAAACAGGTATGTTCTTATTAGATAAAAGTTAAAAGAATGTTTGATGAAACAATAATCATTAAACAAAAATTTTAAATATATATAAATAGTACAAAATTTAACTTAAGTTATTTTAACACAAAAATCTGGAAGTAAAATATTTTAAATGTACACTATAAATGTTATTCCTAAAATGAATATATTTAATTCAAATAATAATTTATCTTATTTAATAATTTTATTATAACATCTAAATATACATTTTTTAAAATAATTTTTCATAGTAAATCCTGATTGACTTATATTGATGAACAAACATTTTAAATTTTATTTAAATATTATGAACAAAAGTCTAACTTAAATAAAAATTTAATGTAATGTTTTAGTTAATATTTGACTAATATTTTGAGGGACATTTTAATGCTTTATAATTGCATGACTATTGTGTACTTGTGTGTAGAAAATAACTTCTAACCGACATATTGAGTTGAGAGAAAGGGCTCGTCAACTAGTAGAACAAGCAAGGCGAGAAGCTGCTAGAAGATCACTACCACAAACTCCTAGTCAGGTTAGATAATTTAAATTAAGGATTAAAATCAAATTAATTAGAATTCTATAAAATTATATTTACACAATATTTATTATGTTATTCAATTTTCAAACAGAGATTGCTATATTGCTATATATATCCCTGTAGATATTAGAGAAAAAATTTTATTTAATATTTCTGAANTATATATCCCTGTAGATATTAGAGAAAAAATTTTATTTAATATTTCTGAATAATTTACTATTTAATTATAATATTTTTCATTAGAGCACTATTTAAACAAAAAATTGATTCTTTATCTATTTAGTGCAAAATTATTTTGATATTTTCATTTTTATACTGCTGTTTTTATTAATTTAATATAGTTTTATGATCAACACTCATGCATCATAAAAAATGTAGTATACAACACATTTTAACAAAAAAATTTTAAAAAATAAAAAAGGTAAGTTTTATGAGCAAAAATAATAATTTCTATTATAATAGAAAAAATAAAGTTTCTTCTGTAGATATTTTAAGAAACTTTAAATATGAATCACAGTTTTGATAGTTGCATTGAAAAACAACTGTGTAACTTCTCATCTTTCTCTTCTTCTTTCTCGCCTTAATCCCAACTACTTGGGGTTAGCCACTATTATCCTAAACTTCCACTTGACACGATCTCCCACATTATTTACGCTCACATCAGCTGTCCTCAAATCGCATTCAATAGCATCCCAACTGTGTAACTTCTCATGATTGTGAAAAAAAATATGCTTAGAAAATATTTTATTTTGTAAAATTTAAAATTTGATTGTTAATTAAATTGTTACATTTTAGAATGAAGAAGAAAGACAACAACAAGTGAGAGAACGTGCAAGAAAACTTATTGCGGAAGCTCGTAAAAATATAAATATTTCTGCTCCAACCACTCCAGTTTCAAGTTTCAATAATGGAAGTGCCAGAAATTCTGTGTCACCTTTATCTGATAGATCTCTAGCAAGCATTTCTCACCTTGATAAAGTAAATTCTAAACATCTATATAATTAAATTTTTGAAAACTTAATTATTAATTGTCTTTAAAAAATATATATATTTTCAGTCTTTTAATTCAAGTAAAAATAGCAGTACTGTAGCATTAGACACAGGTAGTCCACAAAAACTACAATCATTTTCATCTTTACTAGAAACTGATGCAGTATTAAAAGAAGTAAGCTTTATTTATTTAATCTACAATAGCAATTTTAGAATATTTTTATCAATAATTAATTATATCATTTATAATTTAGTTAAGTTCTATAATTTATTAGATTTTTATTTAGATAAATTTAAAAATAATTAACGACCAAATTATAACATTTGAGACTTGGGCAATTTCAGGAGTTACTAAAATATTCTTTTAAAATCTTATTTAACACAGTGACTAATTAGTGCAAGGTGACCATTGTTTCTATTTAATTTTATTTATTTGTGTTAATTCATAGTCTACAAAAAAAGAAAACAATTATATTCAAAATGAAGTAGATTCTTTAGAACGTGAACAAAAACAAATTGATTGTCAAGCTGATGAGCTAGAAACTGAATTAAGGAAAGTTATGGATTCAGGTAAAGTGAATAAAATTAATTTTTAATTAAAGGAAAAACAAATGCATCCAAATAATTTTCTAATGTTTTATATAAACTAGGGCATGATCGTGAAAGAGAAGAATTTCTTATGACTGAATGGTTTACATTGGTTAACAAAAAAAATGCTCTTATTCGTCGACAAATGCAACTAAACATTTTGTAAGTTCAGTATTTAATGATTTTTAACATACTATCAATTTTCGAATTAAAAATTCTAAAAAATCTTATAACTCAATTTAATTGTTAATTCAGTTTTGTATATATACAATTACAAAAATATTGTACATAATTTAATAATCATAATGTAAAAAAATTTGATGATATAATACTAATTATGAAAAAATTAAGCATGTATTATACTGTCCTCTTTCTACTATAAGTAGTTAATACAAAAAAATCTTAGGCTATAATTTGATAGAATGCAATTATTCTTTTATGCTGCATATAGTATAATAAATTATCATTGAATTATATAATTCAATAATGAAAACCTTAAAATTTTATTTTATGATTAATATTTACTTGATAAAATACATAAATAACAAAAAGTTACATCATTTTTTATAATTCATATTAACAAAAATATGGTCATTATAAGTTTTAACCAGTAGAACTTATTTTAAAAATATTTCTATTTATATACAATGTGTTCTAGATTTAATTGACAATTTTTATAACTTTTTGAACCAATTTACATTTTATTTATTTTTTCTACAATTTTTGCATTCATAATTGTCAGGCATATTTTTAATTACTCGTCTTTAATTAAAAAAAATTTTTTTCAATTATAAATAAATGTTTTTTTAATAAAAATATTGATGTCTATTACAATTATCAGACAAATATTTAATAAATTATAGATATTTTAACACTTATATTAGTTATAATAAAAATTAAGTTTTTAAATATTCGATGGGTTACATCTTACAAAACATTATTACAAATTTAATGACTTGTTTATTTTAATTATAATAATTGATATTTGGTTTGGTTAAACATATTACACAGGTATACCTTAACTTAATTTTTTTTTTTTAAATAATATATTAATAAATTTTTAATTCAATAACATTAATTATTAAGTTATCTTAATAATTATGTTATACAATTAAATTAAATTCAGTCAGTATCAATTTAATTCAGAAAAAAAGTTGGTATTCATTCAAGCTATGATAATTTTCATAGAAAATTTAAAGTCTATATTTTTTACATAAAAAATGTTTTATATACATATGTTGTTTTCTTCATAACATAATTATTCTTTAATAGCATTAAATATACATGCAAAAATTCACATTTTTACAAACTTTTAAAAGCTTTAAAAATAAAACTACAAAAGTAATATAAAATATTTCTATATCAAAATTTATTAGATTTGTGAATAGATTTGAGTAATTTTAGATCTTCATAACTCGTCCTGTACATATAAATGTAATATGTACAGGTGTGTATATAGTTTATGTATTTTAGTGTCTTAATATTTTTATAATAAAACATATAATAGCAAAATATTCAATATTATAGAGAAAAAGAAGATGACTTGGAAAAAAGATATCAGTTACTTATAAAAGATTTACGAAGCATAATTTCTATTGAAGGTATGTAGATTTTTTATCAGTGGCGTATTTAGGGAGATTAAATAGAGTCTTTAAGGAACATCTCTTAGAGTGATTGAACTTTTTTTTTGGTCTTTTTTATTAAATAAAATCTGATAATCTAAAGTTTTTTGGAGCAAAATCCTCAGAAAAACAAAATATTAAATAAACTTGCTTTTTACATTTTATTTTAAATAATAGTTTGTTAAAGTATAAAATTTTTGTAAAAGATTGGCAAAAAACTGAAGATCAAAAACGGCGCGAGACCTTGTTGCTGGCTGAACTAGTGACTATTGTTAATAAACGTGATGAATTAGTTCATCATTTAGATTCCCAAGAAAAAGCGTAAGTTATAAAGTAGATAAATTAGAAAAATTATTTTATTGAGGAAGATATTTTTTTTATATTTTATATAGAATTGAAGAAGATGATCAAATAGTACTTGAATTAAACAGGTCTGGGTTTTCTCATCATAACAAAAATTGTGTTATTCAATAATAAATTTTTTATATTGTTTTTAAATTATACTTTTTTAAAACTTTATCTTGTGATTATTAATTTATTTTATAGTAGTATTATAAAAAAAACTCTTCTTAATATTTCTGTTATTTTGTTGTTAAGCTATAGACTTCATTTTTTATTTGATGTGATCATTACAAGTTAATCAATAAAATGTGATTTTTTTTTAGTACAAAATGTACCATTTAGGATGATTCCTTAACTATTTTTTAAATTATATTTAAATATAAAATTTACTTAATAATTTAAAAAAAAATTTCTTTAACTAAAAATGTATTTTGAAAGAATACTTCATTATTATTCAGTAAAGATTAATCACTTTGCTCTGATAGTGGAAATTAAACAAAATATATTTTACCCTAACATGAATTTTGATTGTTATTATTTTTTAATAGTAAATAGAGAATATAATTTTTCTTATTTTAATTATATTGATACTTTAAACTTCAACAATGTTATATGAATCATAAATGGAGTCATCCTGAATATTCATTTATTTAAAAATTTGATTTTTGTTATTAAAATTAAATAAGTTTTTTTTTTAATGATTTTATTAGTACATAAGCTGCATACGTTTTGTATAATTTATTTATGTACATTTTTATTAATGTATACTACTTTAAACGAATTTGTAATTTTTGTTTACTACTTGTTGTAATTGATAATTTCTCTATTTAGATTTAGTTGATTTAAGCATCTAGTCAATTTTTATTTTATTTGATAACAAAAAAAAGTCATTTCAATGTAATTTTATCAATATAATATTAATTGTAGTCAAATATAAAGTTTGCTCAATTTTGTTATGATTTCTGATTAATTATACAGATATTACAAATTAATCTTGCATTTGATTTATTTATTGCTTTTATTTCTAAATTTTAAAATCAAATGAATATCTGAATATGTATTTAAATACTTTAAATAAATAAATACAGAGTCTTACCCAATATATAACTAATAAAGTACGTATAGATATTGGTATGGAAGATTGTAGCCCCTTGGGTCTTCTGTAAATTCAACTCAATGAGTAACAATGGTAATGAGTATTGCTGTAACTGTTAACCAAAGATCATCCATGAATATAGACTGAATATAGATTGGGATGACTCAATATTATCAAATCAAAGCCAACATCTTCTGTAACAATTACTAAATTTATTATAATTGGAATATTTATTTAATTTATCACAAAAATGTAAAAAGCAATAATTAGCCAAATTTTTGTAGAAAAATTGGCAACAAATATGCTTTATTCTTTTTTATTAATGCCATAGCCTCCCATACCTCTTTTTCACTAATTAAAGATACTAGTCTTTCATTTTATGAGATATTCTCTATTTCTTGGATACTCATCCTTAAAATTCTAAACTTTTCTTACAAAAAACTCACAAAGAAATAGTGGTAAAAATAAAAATATTTAAAAATACATTATTTATTAAAAGATGAATGTGACATAGTTAGTGTAATTGATGATGAAAATTATGAATTTCAATTTAACCTACCATATACTCACAAAGAAGTAAAACTAAAAATAAAGGTAATACTTTTCTAAAGAATAATATTAAAACCAAAAATGAAGTACTTGATTTAATGAAATACAAACGTAATGTAGTAATTGTATTAAATGGTGATGATGATAAAGTACAGACATCACCGATTGCTCTTAAAGGTAACCCAACCCAACCCAACCAAACCAACTACAATCTTATTATTGCTTTCAATTTATCATGAATTGTGTATATATAATATTTAATTGAGTTTGCAAGTTGCATATCTAATAGTTCTAAAAATTGCGAATAGTTTATAAGAACTAATGTATTTATTTTATATGTAGAATTAAACAGTTTCAATCTACAATCAGAGTTGAAAACATATTTTTAATAACTAACTAAATGTACATTTAACGTTCAGTCTACGATTTAAGTGTACAACAGGGATGAGTAATTTACGAATGAATCGATTCGACAACTAGATTTGATTGAATTGATTCAGCGTGGTAAAAAGAATCGGTTCATGGGTAACACTGATATTTTAGTATGTACTAAGCAGGGATGAGTAATTTACGAATGAATTGATTCCCCAGATGATTCGATTGAAGTGATTTAGTGTGGTAGAAAAATCAGTTAATGAGTAACACTGAAATTTAGCTTATCTCGCAATAAAAGCACACCTAAATACACCATGATCTACGTTATCATTTTTATAGCAAACAATTCTAATTTTCTAAATACCATTAGTTCGAACCAAAAAATGGATAAGCAAGAAAACATCAGACCACTTTTCTGACTAGAAATATTTTTAACGGTATTTAGAAAACAATGCATAATAAAAAAATGTTATATCTGGCCTCCCCAAATTACCAACAAGCAACTGTTACTATTTACTATCAAAAAAAATAATGATCATAAAAATCGTTGTATAACTATTTGATCTTTTAGTGTCTAAACATTATCATGATAAAACATTTTTCTCTTAATTAAGTTCAATATGAATAATTATTGTTTGAATCACTGAATTGATTCAAAGAATCGATTCATTTAAATGATTTGATTCGAAAGAGTTGATTCATCTGATCGAAACAAATTTCCCATCACTAGTGTACAAATTAAAATTTAAATAAAAACACTGCTGCCCACTATTGGAGTAATTGAGAATTAGTAGAATCCGTTGTTAAATTTATTTAACTCACTCCCACCTTGGATATATCAAACCCTTCCTTTTAAAAGAGACAGCACCCGAGATACCAATTGATAACCGTACACCTCATACCTCTCTTCACCCTGGTTCCGGTGTTTTCAGCTCGGTTACCTGTATCTTCTCATCGCGATCATAAAAGTTGACTGCAATTATTTATTAATTTTACAAGTTGTTTTTTAAACTTTTGTTTTTAACCGTAATTTTTAGAAATTTTCAGGGAGCATGATCGTTGTGTGTACTGTCTCTGATAATATATCTATTCCATCAATGACCTAGTTCATTAACCTTGATCAATTTTCGATAGTGCAAGATTTCACACAGTAATCATAATAGTAACAAAACAAATTGAAATAGTGATTTTTTTTTTTAATATTTGCCTAACTTAAGTGTGCTATCATCAACTTTAGTGAATAAATAACAATCAAATGGACGGTTCTGAACGAGGTAAATGTTCAAATACGTTTTAATCTTATGCTATTCAACACTTACATTGATTACATTATATTTGGACAGTAATTGTACTACTTATCATTTTAAAGAATTTGCTTTTTTTAATTTCTAGTATTGTGCTTTTTAGAATTTTTATGCAGTTGAATTAGGTAAATAAGTGCTTACTTTTAATTTATTTCGGTAAATAATTCAATAACCATTTTAAATGAATTCTCTGTTATGAACTACTATATTTATTAATTATTTTAACTTTATACCTAATTAATTATATTTTGTTTATTTATATTTATTTAAGGTTGGTTAATAATGTTCTAGAAAATATTTTTGTTGAAATATTTATTGTTAACATTATTTTAAAAATTTTATTTAAAATTTATAATTCAATATTATTGATAGTAAAAAAAAATTTAAGTTGAGATTTTTACTTAAAGTACAGAGTAAGGTTTTAAATTTTACCAGAATTATTTGAGTTTCTGTCTAAAAGGTTTATACATGAAATAGATTTCTTGTATGTTTTAAGTACTCATATTATGTATTGTAAAACTTTTTTTTCTTTACAAAGTATTCCTAATTATGTTATAAATTCCAAAAATACTGATTGCTTATATACTTAAATTTATTTTTTACATTAATATGATGGTATTTAGAATGTATATCCCTCAAATCCTTGGGTATTTACGACTATATTAATTGTATTATTTAAATATATTAATAATTGTTTTTATATTAGATTATTTTTAAAAAAAGTATCTGCAAGGTATTAAAGAAAGTGTTTCCCCTAAGTATGGTGTATTGGTACTTCGAACAAATTAAATACTATTTACCATTTTTCAAGAAAAGCAAACCTCAATCAATAAAGTATAATATAAAATAACATATAGGACATGTTAGGAACATCAACAAACATAACTTATTAAACAGTAAGTTATTGTGGTAATAAATAATTGTAACAGAAATAAGGGATTTTTGAAGTAAACTATTTAAACTTGGGTGATAATATGTCATAGAAATGCATATATTGAATGTGCAACTTGTAATACTAAGCTTTGAAATATCAACAGAAGTATGTTGAAATCATAAAGATATCCCTATGACAGCCAATCCTTTATTAACTAAGAAATGGTATTTGAAAAACATTTTTATCATCCTTTTGTTTTTGACTGAGATCATAACTGTGAAGATAATGTACCTGATATTGTTTGTCACAAATAAATCGAAAAATTAAATTTGTTTTTTTTTATTATTATTATTAAAAAATTAATTAATTTATAAATTAAATCTTTCAGTTGTTTCTTATATTCTTTAAATAAACATCTTTAAAGTTGACTTTGAGTTAATGTTAAATCAAACATTCGTCTTTCATAAAAAAAAACTTTTATATTTGAAACCTTGATTTTTCAGGAAATACAAAAAATTAAGCTATATCTTAACAGTTAATATAAAAAAATTGTAACTTTTACATTTTTAATTCATCATATTATCAGCTTAATGCAGAAATTCATTAACTATAATTTTAGTAATTTCTTTTTTGTGATGTACTACTATTTGAGGCACAAATATATGATATTCATATTTTTAAAATAATATAGGATACATTTTTTTTTAAGTATAAAAATGTATCTACAATAAATCAATAATTTAATTACACATTAAATGATAGTATTAGCTAATTTAAATAAATATTACAAAAATAAACATTAATTTTTTTATCAAGCCAATGATATAGTATTCTTTTTCAATGTAAAAGATAATATTTTTCATGCATCTTAGGATACCAGAAATCTATATTCTCGATTATGAACATATCATATTCTCACTGTTATCGACAATATGTTAATTGTTCTAACACAAAAATATTGTGAATATCATATACAAAGACCAGAATTAGACCATAGTGTTCCTTAATTCAAATAGCCTTTTATAGTTGAAAAATAATTATTTCATAGTGTTATGAAGTTTATCTTGAAAAAAAAATCATTGCATTCATGAAGAGTACCATTTCAAAGATAAAAATTAATTAAACCTTAAATATTTAGTGTTATATATATTTTTATTTAAGTAAAATAATGGAAATTACAATTGAACTTTGAACAGAAACTAGAATTTATCATAAAACTCATCAGTTTTTCTTATTAAATGTTACTATTATTTATGTCATATTAACTAAAAATTAATAAATAGGAAATAAATGTAAGGTATATTATAGTATTCTCTAGGTCTGAGAGTGTTAAATATATTCTATCCATTTTTCTATTTTCAAGCAATAAGAAAATAACCTTATTAGTGATATAAACCAATTTTTTAAAAATGTTATAAAAAGCACACAAGATTTGGGTGTAATATGGACTGTACAATATTTGGGGGAATGATAAAAATATATTTTTTTTTTAATTATGACGAAAAATATGTCAGCTTTTCATTGATTACCATACACAATTTTCATTAAAAAAAATCGTTTTAATATTTTTTCAAAATAAAGACTAGTTATCATGAAAAAAAAAAATCAAAAAAGAAATAAGTCCAATATTTTTAATTTGATGATTTAAAAAATTGATTAAATTAAACATTGTAAAATATACATTTTTTTGGTAAAAATGTAAATTAAAAATTGTCTTAAAACTTTTCACATGTTTGCTTCTAAAATTTTATATATTTGGCGAAAAAAATATTTGATTTCTTCTATCAATATAATATTTCATTATTAAAATAATCTTTAATATAGCATTAAAATAAATTTTTAGTAAATAAACAATATAGTTAAAGTTTTGATGCATGTCTTTATGTCTATTCATACTACATTCCTACTAGACCGATTTTAATCAGTCTATATTAAAAGAAAAAAAACTTTTTAGCAATTTTTATTATATGAGTAAAACTAACTTATAAAAGAAAAATTTAAATAAAAACAGCCCGTTTTAGTATTTTCATTTTGCTATAACTTTTTAAAAATTCATAAATTTCAATGAAATTTTTATCAGTAATACTAATGATAATTATCTTATTTTAAATATTCATTTTATAAAAATCAAATCATAACCCTAAGTACTAGAACAATTTGAACAAAGTAATTTTCAGACAATTTTTTTTTATTTAAATTTTGTTAATTTTCTGTAACGTCTACGTTTTTAAACCTAAACCAATATAAAGATCTTAAAATGGTAATTATATAAAAAGAAAAATGTCCCGACAATTTTTCTTCTTTAAGTTATAGGCGGCTAAAGAAAAAATGTATAAAAATTTTCGCAATTATTTTTAGTTTTTCTTGATAAACAATTGCATTGATGCGTTTGTATACTAGTGATGTTAGTCACTCTCAAATTTTAATTTATACTGGAGTTAATTATACCTATCATCATTGCTGGGTGTTTTAGATTTGTACTTTATAATTTATGGAACATGGGGGGAACTAATTCTCTTCAAAATTTATTAGAAAATTATTTGTATATATAATTATTTGTATAATACAAGAATATATTCTAGGATGGAAAATAATTATTAAGATTTTTTTTTAATTTACGCGGCATTTACAAATTAAAGAGATGTTAATTTTATTATTTTTCAATTACTAAATCTAAATTAATATAATAGTTTTTATTAAAAACTGCGAACCGTTTATATTTTCTTAAATGTGTTCAATGTACAAAATATATATATATATATATATTGGAATTCGAATTAAAAAAAGTGATTGAATTTTTAAGTAATTAATTTTTTTACGAACTGAGTGACCTTGTTTAATCCATAAATTGTTATTGATAAATGTTATATTATAAATCTTATTAGTACTTACAGTTATATTATTTAATAAAATGGATCTAGTAGTAGGACTTTGTTGATGAGACTCTGTTTTTAGTTGTGTAGGGTCCTATTTTCATAAACATATACTAAGAGTTGGCTAGTAAGTCAGATAAAAGTCAATGAAGATGATAGTTTTATAGAACACTAAAAACTTGCTAAAGTGAGTCTCAATGTTGACGATTTTGTGAATATTAAATATTCACAAAAATAAATTTTAGTTTTGTGTATGGACAATTGCTAATTTAAATACTTTCAATATGACTGTCAGTTTGCGGATGGTAAAATTATGTGTTGTTATTATTATTATTATTGTATGGCCGTGACATGCTTTAGCTTAAGTGGGGAATAAATGACGGTTAGGCCTGTTTTCTGTAATTCTTGTAAGCGAAATGCGGGAGGGGCGGTTTGCTAGTGGGTGTTCTATGCGTATTTGGTTGCCGTTGGCGCGGCGTGTATATACACGAGCCCCAGTGTCGGTAGTGCGCTAAAACTGTGTCACTGGGCGTCCGCCGGCCATCAAGATCAGTGGGTCATTCAAAACGAAAAAGCGCGCGCGCGCGCTTTTTTCTCGTCGTTTAGTTAAAATTATTTAAAAGGGTTTTAAAAATAATAACAATTTATCTCGGTGTTCATTGTGTGCGCGGCTAAATTTTGAGTTATTTTTTAGGCGATTGCGAAACGTACTATTTTTTTAGTGCATTGTATTATAAAAATTATTGGTTAATTCTATATTGTTTTGTTGCTCTTTAAAATTAACTATGTTCAAAAAAGAAAAACCAATGATGTCCGTTTCGGCAATCATACAGAGTAGGGCTGCCCATCACTGGGGAAGGAGTTTAATATCTGACAGTAAGTCTATTGATTTATTTATTATTTTCAATAAATTCAATTCATCATATCTACAATTTTTGTTGGGTTGTCAATTAATAATGGTTAAAGCTTATTTTTGTACAATTATCTTATAGTTATTAATAATAAATATTCTCTAATGTTTAAAATTTTTTTCAAAATTATGTATTTACGTATACTTTTGTTCTGTTTTAATATTTATGTTGATCAGTGATTTTATGTTCAATTGTATGTAAGTCCTATATTATTCTACTATCATGGAATCTTAGTATTGTAAATTATATATTAATAACCTATATAAAATTTAATTTTTTTTAAGCGCTATGTAATATTTTTGTTTATCTCTCTTTATCGAACTTTGATTATTGAACTATTTAAATCAATTTACCAATGAATCATTGGTTCAATTAGAAAAATTACTTAAAAATTTCCTTTCTTGGTGGTTATATGTGCATTAGTCAGTTATAAAAATTAATTGTGTCTAAAATTATTATTTTCTACAATATGGTACAAGTTTTTTACAATATTTTCTTTACAAGTATTTATTTACTAGGAGTGATAAATATCCATATTATCTTTTATGTACAGCGTAAATAACCCGCAGTTTTATTGTTTTTACTGTAAGTATTCTTTAATTGAGAGTAGTTGAGAAGTCTATTTGAACTTCTTCTGTTTTAAAAATAACTTTGACCGTAGTTATTTCATTAAAATTACATGCAAAAGATTTAAAATAAGGAGAGAACTTACTTATATTGTTACCATTGGGTTTTGTCTTTGCCTATGATATTAATTCAATAAATTTGTTTTTATGATAAGTTTCTAGCAGCTGCTTAAATTAGTACAGAAGATTTAACATTTTCATTATGTTTTCAAATGTTCTTTCAAGTGGATTTATTTTATGTAATAATATATTGAGATATTTGACATTTTTATAAACGATTCTATATATCAATTCAAACAGTGTGAAAATCAAATATTGGATTTAGTTATGTTTAAGAAAATATTATATTTGGTAGCCGTAGATATGAAAAAGAGCTCTGATCACATTAAAAAATTTTTTTCTGTCAAAATCAAAAGCTATTTAAATAATTATTAATAATCTACAATTGATCATACTTCTATAGATACTAAATCATCTTAATAATTGTGTTACATTCATTATTAACTCTGAGGTACGTCTAAATAATATCGAGGAATGCTTATGTTTAATAATTTTAGCTTGATAATATCATAGACAAAGAAAATTACAAACAATGTTGTTATTATAAATTTTTTTTATTTGATCAATCGTCATCATCTGAAATAGCATTTAATGTTTGGTAATTGGAAATCAATTTTTTGTTTGTATTGTTTAGAATAATTAATCCTGGAATAAAGAGGGGCGAACTCTACGGTGACCATCTTAAATTTTATTAGCTTAATCGTCATGACTACTGTTAATGTTTTGTTTTTTTTTTTTTTTTCTCACTTTTTTATGGTAGTGGTATTTTTTATAGAAAACTAAAGGTTTTCATTTTTTGATTTTCTTATATGAATTAGATTTTATTGACAATTTATCCCAGCATACGAAAATTTCATCTTCACTGATTCACATTAATATTCACATATTTATTTACGCAAGTTAACTATCGTAAATTGTCGGATACCATTGTTGAAAATTTGTATTGATTGCTACTATAGTAATAGTTATGTGAATAATAATAACTTTTTGTTTTAAATACAATTTTTATCCCATAATAAATCAAACGGTTTAATTGAATAAAAAAAAAATCGTAAGAACAAAATTATTTGTGATTTTTTTTCTCTTATATATTATCAATTTTAAAAAACGGTAGCACAGTGGGGTCGCGGCATAGTGGAGACATTGCATAGTTGGGTTCAGTCTAGATTTAATCTGACAGTGATTAAAATCACTATCATAAGAAACGCTTCGATGCAAATCTGTAGATAGTGTTTAATTTTAAAAAATTGTTGGATAATTGCAAAAGCAACATCAACTTCTATTAAAATAAAATACAAAACCCATAATTTTCATACAAAAATAGCATATTTTTGAATATGGTAGCCATTTGCGTATAGAAGATAGGTCGTCGGGACAAATTTTTTTTTTT